CTAGCAAAAGAAAAACAGCGCGATGGAAAAACTAACCACTTCAGTTACATTCTCGCGGATTACCACACGGAGAATTTCTGTTTTCTCAAGGGCAGGTGGTAATTCGTAATTGGGAACAATCCTATCACAATTCAAAATGAAGTTTGGCAGCGCGAGCAGAAAAGTATGGCATACCAGCCCTTTGATCTCAACAAAGTTTGTATCCATTTTTGCTGAACATCGGGATTCTTCTTTTTGAAGTCATCCGTGAAGCGGAATGCTACGACAGGAAGACCTGGCTCGTAATCCTAATAAAATGTTAATGCCTTCCTATGTTGAAGGGTATTAGAAATGAACGAACTTCTATGTCTGGCGAATCAATTCCCTCTTCAAGGCGAGCGCCCGGTGCACGATGGATGTCACTAAGAACAGTGAAAAAGCCAGTTTTCTCCAGGGATCGGCTCAAAAGCCTGGCATTTTTCATGTCAGACAAACCAACAGAGCGATAACCTTCGAATCCGAGGTGTATGAAATTGAAATACTGAGCGATAATTGGGGCGGCAGGTCGAGAAAAATTCAAAGAAAATGAATATTCGATGGAACCGAGGTAGTGCAGCTCGAAGATGAGTTCCTTAGGGAGGTGTGCTTTGTCTCTCCATATAATCCATCCAACACCGACATAGCTAAGCCCAAATTTGTGTCCTCTGATGAGAAGCTTAATTAAATAATGACATGATATCGTAAAGCACAACTTACGACGTATTGATGGACACAACCCGAGGAAGTTTGAAATCCCAAATTAATTTTGGCTATTGGGAGTAAAATTAATGGTGAACGAGTGCGGATTTGGCTGGCGACAAACTGTGACAAAAGGTGCAACAAAACCACCAGAAGCGCCGTCAACTACGGGTTAACCACAGAAAGATGACCAAGTTGAACAACTTTATGTGCAAAGGTGCGCGTACCATGAATGGGCACAAAATTGCCGGTCCTCGTCTCGTACTCATCTAACAGTTCGGATATCTCTTTGACAGGTTCATAATGTCCAGTATATGTGCCTGTGGGTAAAAAAGAAAATTTTGGAATTAATACTGGATAACAGCAGAGATATAGCGACAAACTTACTGCCTAAAATTACAAACACCCCTATGGTGTTTTCATCCACGTAGTTCATGATCTTCTTGGGGTCAAGTCTGTATTTACTCTCAGCTGATACATGGACAAGGCGACATTCAACATCGAAGTAACGGGCAAACTTTTCCAATGCTACTTGAGCATTAGCACCCATCACGATGTTTGGTCTGACAGAACATCAGAGGTGTCAACATGAAGATTTCTATTAAACACACCCTGGGTCATGGATGCTTTTTCCAGCTGCTTTGCGTTTGCTTTGCCACATTTTCTTCATTGCTAATCCTCCGAGTTGAGCAGCTTCTGAAGATCCAGTAGTTGCCGTTCCTATAGCCTCTTTGGCAGATGGGGCATGCCACAAATCTGCAAGGATGGAAACACCTGCACACTAATTTCAGCACGAATATACTGTATGCATTTAGCTCCAAATCTCAACAGCGTACATCTAGTATGAAGGAGTTCTAAGATGGAGGAATAAGCAATTGCTTATCGGAGGAGTCGTAAGCGAAGACGTACGAGTAGCAGGATATTCATCCGAGTCTAGATAGTACGCGTTGTTGGATTATTAATTATTAGCTCATTCAAACAACAAAGCCTATACATACCAATCAGATTTTTAGACATGTTTTCTTGGACAAGGAGGTCAGCCTGAGGGGGCATCCAAGTATGTACGAAAGACGCCAAATTGAGGATTGTTGAGCCGTCTAGGAGCAATGAGCAATGCTATCTCTGAGGATGTTCTACAAAAAGAGTGCGTACCAAGGCTCAGTTCATCATGAATGAGTCGATATGCAGCATCAGCGCCGATTCCCTGGAACGCACTCCGGTCAGACGACAGCCATGGTCCGGAATCCCAGTCGAAAGAAGTACCTTTGAGGCCAAGCTATACTTTGGAACGGGGTTGGTCGCGTAACGGTCACCGTATGAATACGTCGCTTCCTGAGTTGACATAAGGGTCGAGGCTGCGCCTTTCTGTGTCGAGTGTTTATCCTGGAAGGTTGAATGAGTTGTGTGTTAGACTCAGAGGAACCCAAGAGATTGCTTTACATGAGATTCCTGTATGATTCTGTCTGGATTAACGTGCTGGAAGCGCGGAGGTAAGCACGACACATAAAGTCAAGTAGTTATTCCAGACATACCTTGGAAAGCGCCATAGTGGTGATAGGAGGGGATGAAAAGCAGAATGGCTCCTTTATATTGAGGATCGTCGAAGAGATGACGTCTCGTATATGATGTCATTGAACGGTTACTTTTACAGACTACCAATTCCCAATACACACGCAACGTGTTTGTTTCTTCTCAGTATATTCTTTAAATAAACCTGAGGACTGAAATACTGAAACCTCCATAAAAACTTTCAAGCCAAGGGATCGAGTTGAAAGTGTAGTAGTATCGTGTCCCCATTTGCAAGAAAAGTTAAACTTCCGGTAAAAACTATATAGTCTTGTTGTACATTTCATTGACGTACATTTCATTGAGCTAAGTCTGAACAAGATATGTGTGCTGGGAGCAAAGCGATTGCATGGGTGTTAGAAATAGGAAAGTGATACTACAACTCCAAGGTGCAACTGCCAATGTGACACGGGCTTTCCCGTTCAAATTGGTGTCACACGGCGCGGGGGCTTGCTAAAAGTAGTTCGAGGCAGTTTTACTCCTGCCTCACTCGCACATAACATGGGGGGTCCGAATCTCGAAATCTTCAAATTCTCTATTTATCTTTTTGTTCCAATTGCAGCTTTGGTACATTTTGGCGACCCTGACTGGTACAGGAGCACCGTCATTCCGGTGCGCCATTGTCGATGTTCTCCTTCATACCCAATTAAACATAAATGTGTTACAGTATCGCGACAAATTATTCCCATCCTTGGGCCGCAACGATATGGTATTCTATGTTCTGATCCTCAATCAACTCTGTCATGCTTACAACTTGTATAGCACATTCCGAAAGAGCAGTCCGCCATTCGGGAAGAGCTCGCAAGAATCAAAGCGGAGAGGTTGGCTCGAAGAGCGCAAAGGGAATTGGACGAACAGAATGCTTCTTCATAATGAAAATATGCATTTAGTGCGTGAAACTCCCCTTGAGTTACTCGCTACTTCTCATCTGTTCCTTGTCAGTATCCATGCGTTGTTATATGTCCAATACTAAAATATAGCCTAGTGCTGATCCCTGGTGTATTTCTTTGTTTATAACATGCCTTTTCTCTTATGATTCGTTTTACTTCTTAAAGCTAAACAGTTGACCATCGTCATATTTGACGGTCCACGATTCTCCGGCTCCTCTTGGATCTCCCTCTGCCAACATTCGATATTCTGCTGCTATCTGCAAATCTATCTTGAACCCTCCGCAAACGATGAAAACAACTACGGGTCGATTTTTATCCTTCGTTGCGCTAGCCTCAACCAACTTGTCGAAAAAGTCAGGATGATAAGCTGGAACTAGGGTTGTTGAACAAGCTAACTCCACGAGGAATTTATGATCATCTGTACATAGTCAGTTCACGAAACAAGAAATGCATCTGGTCTTAGAAACTCACCGGCGAAAAGTGCAAGTGTTTGCATGCTCAGTTCATCTGGAATGCTTGCTGTTTTCACCCCACCTGCCCTTTCCAACGCCATCTTCACCACTGCTGCAGAAGGTTCTGATGCTCCGAGGGATCCTGATGCCCTGGAAGAAAAGCTGTGGAAGTGTGCTAGGTGCACGGAGTGCTCTGTGTTGTATACTAAATCTATTCCCGGAGGCAAGGTCTTGGTCTCGCTGTTAAATCTTTTACCATTAAGTGCCATTGATCTGTAGAAACAGTCGGCGCCAATTGTTTCAAGTGCTACAATTGGCACTTTTGAGAGGAATCAGTCTGGAGTTTTTCTCTACGTTAATTGGTGACCCAGACGTACCATGGTCCCAACCAACAGCCTTGCAGCCTACAATCACGCCTCCTAGCAAACCCCCACCTCCTACGCTGCAAAATATAGCATCAGGAACTTGCTGGAGTTGGTCATGGATCTCGTGAATCATCGAACTGTGTCCTTCCCATATTGTAGAGTTGTCATATGCTGGAACCATCACGCTATAAATCACGCTCAGCTACGTTTCAAAATGATCTACACCTGTACTCACGCGTTTAATTCCTTTGCAACTAGTGCTTCCGCCCTTTCCAAAGCTTCAGAGTATTGCTTTCCTCCAACAATCACCTCGGCCTTTTCTCGCCTTAACAATTCGGTCGTACTTTTGGCCGCTCCTTGGGGAATGAACACAGTACACTTAAGTCCGAGAGAGCGCGCAGAGCACGCTGCAGCCAACCCTGCGTTTCCGCCTGAAGCGATGACGAGATGCACAGACGGCCCATGTTTTACTTTCGCGTCACTGACAAAATACGATATTCCTCTATATTTAAAAGAGTGCGAGGGATGCAGATTCTGCATAAATGGTGAAAATAATCACAATTTAACTCTGCGAAAACGCACCTCCAACTTCAAGTATACCGAGGATCCTGTAATCTCTGACAAGCGATTTGAATAAATGAGAGGTGTCTCCTTCCACAAGTTATTCTTAAGATCGATATGGGACGCCATAATGCTGCTGCAGACCATGCTTTTGTTATCAATAATAAACAGTATGTGGTGCAGTGCACGTACGTGGGTGGCTGATGGGCGAAAGCTAGTCACAAAAAAAGAGGGTAAAAGTATATCTAGCTTCTCAGTCGGATGGAGAGAACCAACGGCTCCGAACGGTCAAGAAAGGGCTGGTCAACGCAAAAGCATTGGAACCGTCCCTCACGGCAAGAAGGTACGAGCTCTTATCATGTTGTGTATGATTGGTCTGTCTTCTCCCTTATCAAAAGTCGATCGTCATACATCGAGCGGTGACCAACGGTCGCAATAGAAAAAAAATATGGGGGCACCGCGGATCGAACGCAGGACCTTTAGAACTTCAGTCTACTGCTCTCCCAGCTGAGCTATGCCCCCACATATTAGTTAAAGTTATATAACCATAACCTGCTGCTTGCTGAGCTAATAACGTGCTGCCACAGCGAGTGACAGTGGAGTACATTTCTTCTGAATCTTCACACCCAACTACTGGGTCGAATTTCTAACAACCCCTTTGCAACTGCATCCTTTCGAGCTTCTTTACTACTTTGACAGGAGAGAAGATTTTCTCATATCATGCGTGTCATCGGACAATGAAATCCTATGACTTCTACTTTTCAAACGGCGCTATCTCGGAGGGTCAGAACGGGCCGATGACAATCTTCGACGAACGCTTTCCATAATGTGACCACCAAGCCTGGTGCTCTAGCAGGATCTCTGATATCTAAGAACCCTATGCAGGCGGGTAGAAATGTTATAAAATCAGACCGGTGTACATAGGAACATCCATCGCGCTCCCATGAAGTTCAACGACGGGTTCTGGCTCTTAAAAAGTGGTGTCAAGCCATTCTACGGCTTGCAGATTGTACAAGCGAAAAGTAATGCCACAGGCTATGACCTTCAAGTAGCTACAAGGCCCATCCGACACAGAGGGGATACTCTGGGAGGTGTGTTACGCTTCAAAGTTCAAACATTGTATAACATTGTATTTACATGTTACATTTGTTCAGGGCCTGTTTTGAGTGTTCGGGTACATTCGCCAACGGCAGGAGTCATCGGCGTAAAGATCCAGCACGTCCTTGGCGAAGAACCTACTACTAATATTCAACTTTTCCCGGACGACGGTCCAATACCAGACGTCGCCTTCCCCACCTCGGATGCTGGGAAGAACTACGTGTTGAAATCTGGAGATCTCACTGCAGAGATCGCGGAGAACCCTTACACCATAACATTCAAATCTCCTACTCGCACCTTGACGGAATCTGGGTACAGACATCAGGCTGTATACAACGTACCGTCGGAGTGGACCACGCAAAGCGCATCCCACAGCTCTTGCACTGCCCAGGATCCAGTGTCTAACCCAAACCCAGAATCGCTGCCTCCGATTATTCGCTATCTCAACGCTGAGCTCAATATATCGCCAGGTGAGCTCATTTATGGTCTTGGGGAGCAATTTGGAGCGTTTGTAAAGAACGGTAGGTTTCGACTTTTTCTTCAAGTATGATTCTGATTAGTTCATTGGAAGGCCAATCCGTGAAAGTTTGGAATCAAGACGGAGGCACTTCCAGCGACCAAGCCTATAAATGTGTTCCGTTTTATATCACAAATCGAAACTATGGCGTCTTTATTAACCATCCTGGAGAGGTAGAATTAGAGGTTGGCTCCGAAAAGGTTAGTAGGGTTGGTATATCAGTTGCGGATACGACACTGGAATATTTTATCATCTACGGGGCTACTCCTCTGGAGGTGAGGTTTCGCTTTCCGCTGTTTTCCGTCCATTTTATAATGGATAAATTACCATACCAGATCTTAGAAAGATATACCAGAATGACTGGTCGCCCTGCGTACGTTCTGATAATTTTATATCATTCTTGTTTGAGACTCATCATACTGTCTAGCATCTTACCGAGCTGGAGCTACGGACTATGGCTATCCACTTCGTTTCTTACATCCTACTCGAGCGAGACAGTGTCGACTTTCCTACAAGGGATGAAGCAGCGCGACTGCCCTGTACGCGTTTTCCATTTGGACTGCTTCTGGATGAAGCAATACGAGTGGTAGCTTGATTTTTTGTATTTGATGATAGCATCCTATATCTGATTTTCAACAAAAGGTGTTCATTCACTTTCGATCCAGATAATTTCCCAGATCCTAAGACATACCTGGCGGAAATCAAAGAGAAGTATGGTGTCAAGATTTGCCTATGGAGTACGACCTTTATTCTCCCTAGAACTGTGCTTATATGTGTCTAACGGGCCCATTTAGTTAATCCTTATATTTCGCAATTGTCTCCGATCTTCAAAGAGGGTGTGAAGGGCGGTTACTTCATCAAACGCAAAGATGGGACGCCGTGGCAGTGAGTCTCTTCCTCGTAGCTCTGCACCATAACGTTCAACAAGCTCTGTCAGATGGGATTTATGGCAGCCAGGCCTCGCTATTATCGACGTCACAAATCCGGCAACACGGAAATGGTATTGCGACAAACTCAATGCACTCATTGACCTGGGTGTGGATGCATTCAAGGTTCGCAACGAGTCGTTGGGTCACCCTCTGAAGCTGTGTCCGCTGATAAGCGCAATTTTAGACAGATTTTGGTGAACGTATCCCTCATGCCTCTGTTGTTTTCCATGACGGATCTGACCCAATGAGAATGCACAATACGTATTCAGTCGTCTACAACGAGATGGTGTTCAACTTGTTAAAAGAACGATTTGGCAAGGATGAAGCTGTTGTGTTTGCGCGCTCTGCGGCTACTGGCGGACAACGGTAGGCTTCGTCCGGGATGCATATTGGTCAAGTCTCTATTATTGACACTTTGTGCACTAGTTTCCCTGTGCATTGGGGGGGAGATTGTGAATCAACTTTCGAAGCCATGGCAGAAGCCATGCGCGGGGCTCTATCGCTGACTGTGTCAGGCTTTGGATATGCGTCGCATGACATTGGTGGTTTCGAGGTTGGTCAAATCCTACAACATATCTTTTCAGCTAGGTCTCAATCATCCTTTTGCAAAAGGGACATCCTCCTCCCGAAATTTATCAACGCTGGGTTGCTTTCGGACTCTTCTCATCCCATTCGCGATTGCACGGATCCTCCTCGTACCGTGTACCGTGGATTTATGGGGAAGACGCGGCGAAGACAATGGCAAAATTCGTCAATGCGAAGCATAGGTTGATGCCCTATCTGTACAACCTTGTGGGTTAAACCTGTCTTGTTACTCTGTTGCGGCTGAGATTTGACAGTGCTAATGTCGTTTGCGTAGTCTATACAAGCCAATACAAATGGACATCCGTTGATGCGCGCGATGTTTTTGGAATTCCCGGAAGATCGGACGACGCACTATTTAGATAGGCAGTATATGCTAGGTGAGTAAAGTTACGGTTTCTTTCTTCTAATACAATAAAAGTAGTAACGTCTACAAACTGACAGGCCCAAGTTTACTTGTCGCACCTGTATTCGTTCCGCAAGGCGAAGAAGCGGAGTACTATATTCCGGCAGGGAAATGGACCTCATTCTTTCACTCAGAACGCACGATCGAGGGCCCGCGCTGGGTGCGCGAACACGTCCCCATCGAGGAACTCCCGGTGTGGGTGCGTCCGGGGTCGGTGCTCTTGCTCGGTCCTGACGGTATCGGCCGTCCAGACTACGACTACACTCAAGGGTTGGAGGTGCGCGCGTATGCTCTCGAAATGGGTACCACAGTAAAGGTGGACGTTCCACTTGGGCGTGGTGTCGCGTTGGCGGGGTCGGTCGCGGTCAGGCGGCTTGAGGCGGACGATGGTGGAATTGACGTCAATGTCACGAGTGGAATTCAGGTTATGAGCAAATTTCTGGTTCAGTGATCGGCAAATGGGGGTTCCCTGTCGAGAAGGGGTTGGGTAGGTGCTATATCAGGTGCTGGTAATACGATGATCCCGGTGGGATGGTGCATTTTCTTTTTTCGTCCCCTCAAATGAAACATATACGAGTACTGGTCGAATAAATTGTATTGAACCAAATCGATATCTATACACGCTTTCGGGAATGTTCTTAACATGCAATTTATATCCCGCCACAATCACTACATGTCTAGTTTTGATGTCACTGGCAGTGCACACTATACAGCCTGTCAGTGTAAAGGTATGAAGAAAGAAAAAAAAGCTGACGTTCTGGAAAGTAATCCTCAGGCCTTTGAGGCGTATGTTATTATTGCAGTCTTTTCTGATCTCCATGCGAGACCACTTCCGATAAAGATAGTCAGCGACCCACGAATCCAGTATCCATCAATGTATGTCTGACATCCCAAGTCAAAAAACGGCCAAAAAAAGAGCGGCAGGGAATTCTGACATGGGTGATACACCTTGTCGGACTCATGTTCAAACGAATGAGAGGTTTTCGCAAGGTTTTCGTCTGCCTGTGGATAACATACGGTTAAGACATATAATAGGAATTTTCTCTCGGGGTAGGTGGGAGGGTGCGATGTTTATTTCCTTTGGGAGGTACGCCACCGACACTGGAAGTTAAATATACACCGTGGGGTGTGGTGGAGGTGGAGGGTGTGCGTGCCATGTCAATGAGCCAATGAGGTGCTCATGAAGTGTCGGAGAAATATCAGATTTGCTAGAGTGTGATGGAGCATTTTGGTACAGTACGAAGATAAGACTTGTATTTTTGGGCACTTCGGCGGCGGTTGTACTCGTATATATAATTATAATTAGCGAACGAGGGATGAGGATGGATTGCTGCTGGACTTCCGCAGTTTGGACGAGAATGAAGGCTGCACTCTGGATATCGTTAGTTCCTCAGTTCGAATGTAATGAAGAAGGAAGGCCCAACGCTGCGGTCAAGGCGTGGCGTAAGAAAAAATCATTCCCGACACGGTGCAAGGATCACGTCAAAGGCAAGCGCCGGAGAATTACCCTCAATACACACCCTTTGCATCTAATTCTTTTCTGCACATCATGTAATCATATCGCCGCATTTTTTCAGATCAAAGATTGCTGCGGCGGCTAGCCGAAGGACCGTCCCCGTCCCCACTTGCAACGATGAGCAAATGAAGATTGAAGCGTCCGAAGGTGCACAGTGAATCAGGCTAATGGAGCGCAGCGGAATAGAGTCAAGGTAAAGAGGGTCACAGATGGCCAGAGTGCCAAAGCAGATGATTTATGGGAATGAGTCAGGGCGAGTGCATGCGACCTGAATGAGAGATGCATGCAAGCGCAGTAATGAGGCAGACAGTGCTGGCTTTATATACGGTTTTAATGAGTGCTATCGCAGGCGATCATGATCCACTTTACCCCGGGACGGGCAGTCACTGCGCAGCTGGAACGCGCAGCGGGAGATGCGCAGTGGGTCACGTGGTGCTGCGGAGAGGAAAGAGAGAAGGTGGATTGGGAGTGGGC